TACCAAGTATGTACAATTGTGATTGTTAGAAGCCCAGTCTATTGGGAAAAGACATTGGATAAGTAATATACAGCACAGTGTGGCTCTTTCATGGAGGTATGTATAGGGAGCAACTGGAGCATGGGGAAAGATGAGGGTCTGAGTTGTTTCGGAAAACTGAGGGGTGATGAGGAGTTATATGAATGAAATGTGGGGAAGGACTGTTACAGAAAACCGGAGAAAAACCAAGTAACGCTTAGAGAGATGGAGTTATATTTATTATTACGCGGGCCCAGAGAAAAATGTCTCTAGAATTCTAGGCGAAGTCACACAGGAGTTTTCTGTAATTTATACCTTTTTACCCTTTTTGTCTCCCAAATATGGGGTTTTCCGGTCCCCTTTGCAAGTTCTTAAAGAGCCCCTATGTGCTGGGGCTTTGAGACCTCGACCAAAGGCTTGGCCTGGTGCCAGCACTGATAACTTTGGGGAAGGTTTAATGGCCTCTCTGAAATGGGAATAGTCTTATTTTCCTTATTATTTAAGCCAGCAAGCATTTACAGAAGCCAAAATGCAGGGTTAAAATTTCAAACAGCAGCCAAAACCGGTTTGGCTCGGTGGATAGAGCGTCAGCCTGCGGACTGAAGGGTCCCAGGTTCGATTCCGGTCAGGGGCATGTACCTTGGTTGCAGGCACATCCCCAGGAGGAGGTGTGCAGGAGGCAGCTGGTCGATGTTTCTCTCTCATCGATGTTTCTGACTCTCTATCCCTCTCCCTTCCTCTCTGTAAAAAATCAATTAAAATATATTTAAAAAAATTTCAAACAGCAGTTTTTATATAAGATGGATGCTTCAGGACCACAGCATGAGTAGAAGGATGAGTCTGTGTCAATGGGCAAGTGTCTTGGTATTGCTAGAATATAAAGGGAGTTGTGGAAAATGAGACCTGACAAGTAAGCAGGGCCAGATCACAAAGGGCCTTGGTAGGAATTTAGGCATGATCTTACAGGCCAAGGGTTCATTGCCCATTTCCTCCCCACCTAGCTGCACAGGCACATATGCATCGTAGACACATTGGAGGTGCACGTTGTAGACGCTGCCGTGTCAGACCTGGATCTTGATAGCTGGGGTGGTTCACAAATAAAATAGTCTTTTCTTGAATTGTTTTTACCTCTCATGGCTGCTGCTTTTCTTTTCATTTCTGGCACTTTTTCCTCCTCTCACATTTCGCCCCCCAAATGTAGGGTTCCTTACAAAGCTGGTTTTGGTCCTTGTTTCACTCTCCATTTTCTCTCTAGTCTTATAGCGTTAGCTATCACCTCTTTGTGAATGATCCCAAATTAAGTTCAAACCTACCTCTGGCTCCATTTGCTCATTTCTGATTGCATACTCAATTCCTCCAACTGAAGCTACTCTGTGTCCTTCAAATGTATCACATTTGATTTTTCCTTTGCATTTCTTGTTTTTGTTCGTGGCTCCACCATCCTCTGCCTGCATATTCAAAATGTCATTCATCACCATGGTCCTTGCTATTCCCATTGGTGCCAACCTCCTTCAGAACCTCATTATCTTTGCTGGGACAATTTCATTAGCTATCGAGTTCATCCTGCCTCTGATCTCCTTTCTTTCCTTTCACTTTATGCACTGTTACTAGATTTATTTCCTGTGTTTAGAAATACAATTCTGACCATATCACTGCTGCTAAAAAACAAAAAACAAAAACCTATCACTGGCCACAACTAAACTTTCAACTGTACTTTCAACTAGTGTTCCTCATTCACCTCACTCACACATATTTCCATCAAATGGGATAGTTTCTTATTCCCTATTGTTCCTTAAGGTTTTCCACCATTATACCCTTGCTGCTGTGTTAATCTACATCCTTTTCTCCATCTCTACTTACCACTATGCCTTAATTCATAGCCTAGCTCAAATGATTTCACTGTAATTTCTCAGCTGGAAAAAAAATTTTCTTTTTAAATGAAACTCTATAAAGTTATTAAGTTCTGCCAGTTACTACCTGTATAACCTTGGGAAAATTAGTAAAAAGCTTTTATCTCAGTCTTCACATCTATAAAACTGGTATGATACAATAGTTAATTGATTCTAAGACATTTTTACATTTTAACATCTCTGCAATATGAATTTGTCTTACAAAATCTATCACATATCATATTTTAATTGCAGCTTTTTTTCTTAGTGGTACATAAAGTAGCATGTATCTTATACTTGATAGCCTTTTAAGTTTGGTGAAATACAGTAACAGTATAAAATCATGGTTTTGGTGTGAGAATTAACAGGTCTTTATGTAAGTGCATAGCACAGTACGGGCACAAAGTAATGCTCAATAAATGTTAGCTGTTGTTATTGGCTATAAGTGATTCCTAACTTACCACCTCATGAAGTCCTAGAAAATGGTAGTAATTTGTAATGTCATTGGGTTGAACCTTTATTTCTGTAGTTTTAATGTTTACATTTCATGACATGTAAATACTAAAGTTGGTCATGAAAAGAAATAGGAATGAAATATATCAAATATATTTTACACATTTGTTTTTTAAAAAAGGCAGAGCCAATCATAGAAGCTTTATTATAATTTCTGTTCAGGGACTTTTTCATCATGGGCTGGCCTGCCCGAGGCCCATTAAAATAGGAGCCCAATGAGTCTTTTATCTTTCCGACAAACACCTCTCAAGTAATCGTAGATGTTCATCGTTGTTTCAAGTACTTTTAAACTTCAATTAAACTGAAGGCATATGTCTTGAAATGTTTATTGTTAGTGAATATTTGTGAAACTCAGAAGTTCCGGAGTAGGGAAAGCTGAGTAGTTTCCATAGTGACTTCTGCAGAGATCCCGTGCTCTTCCATTTCAGAGAGAGGCTGCTGACCTGATTCCACCCTTGTCGGGGCCAGTGCTTTCCAGGCTGGAGGGAGGCTCAGGCTTTTCTCATGGACTCAGCAGCCGTCATGGGTGGCTTGACTTTCCTTGTTTATTCTTGTCATGGTTCTGAATGCAAGTTTTCTTTGTTTGGTTCTAGAGATGCTGTGGGAGAGATTACCTAGAAGACACAAGCTCTAACAAATTAATATTTACTATTTGTCATGAAGATTCTGAATTGTATTTCAGAATATATTAGTGGAAAATTAGTGATAATACTGAATATTTATCAGTGGCTAGTTTCTAATAAGAAACATCAAACTTTTTGTTATTCCATTTGGGAATTTTTTAGAATATAATTTTCCATATATAGGTGGAGATTTTGAATTAAAGGTATATTACTTAATTATTTTAATTGATTTGATAAAACTCCAGGAAGGTATCTCCTATAGGTATTTCTTTCCAGATTAAAGACAACCAGAGATTTAAATAGAAAATTGATGGATTTGTTTTATCATTTGTGTGTTCTATTTAATCTGTATTTGCGGAAATGGAATCACTTTCCCTGACTGGGTAGTGATATTTGGCTAATGAGGAAAGCATCTTAATAACTTAACCTCTATGTATATTTTCTTGCAGTATTATCAGAAAACCCTCCTAGTTTCACCATTACTGTGACATCCGAGGCTGGAGAAAATGATGAAAGTAAGTCTAATAAAAAAATACTTGTGGTTTTTCTAAGCCTCTCAGGAATTTTACTCATTCCAGAGCCATTCTATGCTGGGCCTTGCAGGTGCAGAGGTGCTGGGGTGCTGTTAAGAATCTAGTGTAAGTGTTGTGCATTTCTAGTTGGTATACTATGTAAACATGACTTCTAGGGAAATAGAAAATCAATAAAATACATTCTGACACAATACCAGTAAGCTTAGTTTTTAAAAGCAAAACAGAAACATTAACGATACATCAGATGGAGAAAAAGTAAGATATTTTTTGGCCAAAACAAGACTTGGCATGCGTATGTATTCCAGTGGTCGTGTGGTATTTTGTTCAGTGACTATTATTCCATGACTTTTTAATCTTTGGACATTTAGATTGTTTACTGGATTTTTGCTGCTATAAATTAGTCAAGATAAACACCTATCTGCATGGTTTTATCTCTCTCTTTAGGATGGATATTCTACTGTTATTTAAATATATATGTATAGATGAGTTAAGTGAAAAGTTTCTCACACAGCCTCTCACACTGTCTACTTCAAAACATATCATCTAACAGCCCATAGCAGTCCCCTGCTGGTGTTGTGCAGACAGAAATATAGGCCCCAGGGCTACCGCCAGGTCTTCTGCACTGGGAACTGGCTTCAGTAGAGGCCTAAAAAGGAGCCTACGACAGTAATTATTCTGTGTTGTATGTTGTACCTTTTGTTCATCTTGAGGGTTTTAAAAATAGTGTAACTTGTTTTTCTTTAACCTTGTTTTTCTTTGCAGGAAAATCTTACGTGCTTTTTATTGACACGTAAATTAATTACTGATTCAACAAAGATGTTGACTTCTCTATACTTTACACTTTAAGGTATTCATAGCAAACTGTTTTCTGGTGTTTTTAGCTGTCCAGACTACCCTCAAGTTTACATACAGTGAGAAATACCCAGATGAAGCCCCCCTTTATGAAATATTCTCCCAGGAAAATCTAGAAGATAATGATGTCACAAGCATCTTAAAATTATTAGCATTACAGGTAAGGTTTTGTAATGGTATTATTTTTTTGGCCTTAAGTATTATACATCAATTGCAAGAGTCAAAAAATTCTATTAAACATGTATAATTATTACATTGAAAAAGCAGAATTCATTATCTATATATATAAATAAAATAAAGAAATATGCTAATTAACCAGGACACCATAACGGGTCGACCGGACAGGAAGAGGTTGCTCGTGCAGCGTCGGGGGCGGGGCAGCAGGGGCCTCCATGTGCCTGCCCTGGGGGAGGGCCTGATCAGCAGCAGCAGCCCCGGCTGCTTCAAGGGCCGGACGGAAGGGTGGGCAGTGCCGGGCGATTTGGAATCGTGTGTTGGGCTCCTAGTATATATATATTTGTTTGTTTCCCACTCTGTCTTTAGACTTAAGCTGTTCCTGTACCCCTGTTTTGAACTCAGTCAGCCCCGTGACTTTTAGATATAAAAAGTCTGACAGGTAAAAGCACAACCTCAATTAGATTCTCAGAATATCCAGTTCCATGTGCAGTTAAAAATTCCAACTGAAAAGAATTGAAATTTTCAACCCCTCTGACCTGTTGCAGGCTGGTTGCCTACAATCTGGGAAGAAGAATAGTGATTGATTTTTTTCTTATGTCTCCTTATCCCTAAGCTTACAAATAGCAACAATGGTTTGTGACTCCTCTAAGAGGGGAGATTATGAAGAAGAAAAATGGGTATTGGAAAATTTTTATTTGGCTAGTTCTGTGGTGGGATGGGCTACCCACAGTATTCAAAGCTGTCTCTTGCTTGGGTAGAGAGTTTCCATGTGTTCTTCAGAGTAGGGAGTAGGGAGGACAAGCAAAATCTTTACCATCTTAAAATCAGAAGTCCTAGTTTTGTTTGTTTGCTCTAAGAATCAACAGAAAACATGTCTCCATCTTAAATGTGACTTGTATATTTCCAAGAGTATTGATCTTCTTAATGTTGATACTTTAAAAATATCTGGAGCTCCCAGCAAGTGTGGCTGAGTGGTTGAGCATTGACCTATGAACCAGGAGGTCATGGTTCGATTCCCAGTCAGGGCCTTCAAATGACCAACTTCAAAGTAGCTTTTGCATTGTAGTCCTTCCATGAGTCAGAGATGCTTTTATATTTGGTTTTGAACCATTTCAAATCAAAAGAAAAAGGTAGATAAAGATAAATCACAGAACTACCTACAATCTTTATTATTATTATATTATGTTAGTAAATTGTTCTGGCCTTAAAGTTCACTTCATTGTCACAGCTCTTAAAATATCCAAAAGGAACTAAAATAATGAAAATATGCTTAAGAGCTGATGCTACTAGCTACTATAGGAAAAGTCTTCTGAATTCTACCTACATGTATGACTATTAAACAGAATTTACTGAAATGTCTGGTTTAGGTTGGATATAGTAAATTACTTTAAAATTTAAGATATTGTTTATATATGTTCAGTTCTTAAATAATCATTTATTCAAGTGTCTGAACTGATATATAACTGAATTAGTAATCATATTATGAATGCACGGAATTTAGTTATTATGCTGAAACACTCTAATGGATTTTTTTAAGTATGCTTCTCACTACAACCCCTTTTTTTGTTGTTGCTTTTTTGTTTGTTTGTTTGTTTGTTTGTTTTGTTACATAGGCAGAAGAAAACCTTGGTATGGTGATGATCTTTACTTTGGTAACAGCTGTCCAAGAAAAATTAAATGAAATAGTGGATCAAATAAAAACTAGAAGAGAAGAAGAAAAAAAACAAAAAGAAAAAGAAGCAGAAGAAGCCGAAAAGGTATATTAAAAGCCATGGTTTTTTCACTATTCTCTAAATTGGCCCTCCTTCCCTCCCTCCCTTCCTCCCTTCCGTTTTTTGTTGTTGTTGTTGTTTTTATCTGTTTTTGTTTTTGGAAATTTAAGTGATTTTTTGGAACTCACAAAAATAAATGAAAATAAATTTTAGTAAAGCTTTATAAATAAAATCTTAGGAGTTCCTCATTTTGTTGGTGGCATAACACAAGTAACAATAATCAGTAAAGTTTAGTAAAGCTCATGCAGGTAAGATAAAGAAATATAAATTACTTCACTTATGGTATAGAGTTTAGAATTAATAATGCCCCCACCAGAGTGATTTAAATACATTCATGCAATGCTTAACACGAATATATGTTTTGAGAAATGCATTGTTAGGCATTTCATCATTGTGTGAACATCATAGAGTACACTTATACAAACCTAGATGGTATAGCCTACTACACATCTAGGCCATAAGGTATAGCCTATTGCTCCTAGGCTACAAACCTGTACAGCATGTCGCTGTACTGAATACTGTAGGCATTTATAACACAATTTGTGTATGTACTAGGTAAGTATTTGTGTACCTAAACATAGAAAAAGTACAATAAAAATTGGTATAAAAGATAAAAATGGTACACCATTAGACTTTATAAAGACTGCACACTTAGGCTACACTAAATTTATAAAATATGAGATTAAATCAAGCACAAGAGAAAATGATGCAGTTAAGAAACTTGGTAAACACAAGATGTGTGAGGCTGCTGCTGGTGTAACATGGCATACTGCTTTACAGCAAACTTTTCATATAAATAGAAAGAGTACATTCTAAAATAATGATAAAAGTATAGTATAGTAAATGCATAAACCAGTAACATAGTTGTTTATTATCATTATCAAGTAGTAGCGTCCTATCTAATAAAAGAGTAATATGCAAATTAGCCATCACTCCATCACAAAGATGGTGGCGCCCAGTCCCCTCAGCCCCGCCAGAGTCCCCCAGTCCTGTGGGGGCGGCCACTAAGAGCAGGCAGCATGAGCAGCCTGGCAGAATGCTTGCTTCATCGCCACGGTAACGAGGCAAGTGTTCCGCCTGGCCGCAGAGGGCCTCTGGGCAGTGGGTGCAGAGCGTCCCACCCGGGCCGTGGAGGGCCCCAGGGCTGCGGGTGTGGAGTGGCCAGGCCCCACAGAGAGCAGAGAACCACGGGGAGTGGGCCTAAGCTGTCAGGGCTCCCGGATTGGAGAGGGTGCAGGTCAGGCTGAGGGGCCCATCCCCCGTGCACGAATTTCGTGTACTGGGCCTCTAGTTGTATATAATTGTATGTGCAATATTTTTATACAACTAGCAGCACAGTAAGTTTGTTTACATCAGCATCACCACAAACACATAGTACACTTCCCTATGACATTTGGACAGCTATGATGTCACTAGGCTAGAGGAATTTTTCTACTCCTTTATCTTACGCAACCACTGTCGTATAGGTATCCGTCATTGACTAAAATGTTGTTATGCGGCACATGACTGTATTTACTAAAAGAAAACCTCAAATTCTGAAATAAAGTAGAAAGATAAGCTATGATGCTAGTGTTCTAAATTGATGTGTATTCAAAACATCACTATTGACAGCAACAGCTTTCTTCTAAATAGTGAATAGCAATGGTTGTATGTTGCATATTATCTTTGTTTTTTGTAATAAAAATTATAAATGGACTTGTTCAGAATAAATCGCCAAAACCAATGAGAGTAGCCAGTGCAGGCAGATATCATATTAAACACTTTAAAACTTAAAACAGTTTTTCCTGTAAGTGGCTATATTCATTTGTCTAGAAGATCATTAAATCTTATGTTTTAAACTGTTGTCTCACTTATCTGGTAACCTGTCTTTTTTATTTTCCAAGCAATTATTTCATGGCACTCCTGTTACAATTGAGAATTTCTTAAGTTGGAAAGCCAAGTTTGATGCAGAACTCTTGGAAATTAAAAAGAAACGAATGAAAGAAGAAGAACAAGCAGGAAAAAATAAATTAAGTGGTATGACTCGCCCCTATTTCTGTTCCCCTAAACATTTTGGCATTAGTTCTGATATAGCAAGAGGATCATTTGAACAGATTTCTATGGGACATTTTTTTTATCCTCACCTGAGGATATGTTTACTGATTTTAGAGATGAAGGGAGAGTGAGAGAGAGAAAAATCTATGTGAGAGAAAAACATTGCTTGGTTGCCTCTTGCACCTGCCCCAACCAGGGATCAAATCCACAACCTAAGTATGTGTCCTGACTGGGAATCGAACCCAAAACCTTTTGGTGCACAGGACGATACTCCAACCAACTGAGCCATTCAGCCAGGGCTGTAAGAAAATATACTTAGGCATCCAGGGGAAAAAAAGAGAAAGCATTTTCTCTACATGTTGATGTATTTTCACACTTAATTATAATTAATGTTTATGGGTTATCTTTGATCTAAATATTACAATGATAGATCTTGAGATACAGCTACCATGACTTCCAGGATTATAAGCCTTAGAAGTGATAGAGTCACATTTGTTTTTCTAGGACTCGAGGCAGACTAGGTTATCAGTTGTTCCATTTTTATGCAAATACATTTTATATGCCTCTTAGCTCAGTTCGTAAATTTATTGAAATTCAGAAAAACAGATTTTCAGACTTTTTCCTGGAGAGTTGTAGAAGATGGAGGAAAACTATGCTGTTCAAATTAAACATATTTATTTCTTTTAGGGAAACAGCTATTTGAAACAGATCATAATCTTGATACATCTGATATCCAGTTCTTGGAGGATGGTAAGATAATATTAGAATTCCACATGTATATATTGTACTGTTTTTAATATTAATTCATGAAAATCAGAGTAATGACAATAAATCTTTCCTCCCGAGGGTATAAAGAAATACATTTTAAAGAATAAATTCTAATGTTTGATAAATTTATACATAAACTATAGCAATATATTCTTTAAAGTTTTCTGATCACTTAAGCAAAATCAAATATAGCAATAGACAAACAATTAAGATCACATTAGCTTCTAACAACTTGTAAACCAGGCCCATGGTCAGTGATCATCAACTTTGTATGACCAGGACATATCATTGTCTTCAATTTGTCACATGCCACATCATAAATAATTCATTCTAGAAAGGCTTTTTTTATAACTGGATTTTTTTAGACTATGAACTGGAAGCACAAAGTTGTTGTTAAAATGTGTGAGTCTCTGCTGACCATTACAGACCATTGTTGGCCTGTAATGATTTGCAGTAGCAATTTAATATTTCATCACCTCCCTTGCATGTGGAGAAGTTTCTGTTTGTACCTTTCATTCCCAAGTATAAGACTAAAGATGAAATCTTGTTTTTTTGCAGCTGGAAACAATGTGGAGGTAGATGAGTCTTTGTTCCAGGAAATGGATGACTTGGAGCTGGAGGATGACGAGGATGATCCAGACTACAATCCTGCTGACCCAGAGAGCGACTTGACCGATTGATGGACCATCCCCGTCTGCCAAGGCTTGACTGCCACAGCATCTGTGGTTATGCCAAGAGGGTGTTGATTTTCCTTCCTTTTTTTCTAAGAAAAAAAACAATTTTCAGGAGAATATTCTTCTGAAAGCTTTCATCAATGAACTAATAAACTGACCTTAAAATTTCAAATATAAAATGTTCAATTCCTCTTATTAGTGAGAAGAAGCTCACGTACAGTCAAACCTCATTTCTCAAACGTCTGCCATCTTGAACAATTCGGTTCTCAACTAAATTGTTCACAGAACTAATGTTGAATCATACCTTGGTTTTCCACTCGGCAACCTTTTCATGTTGATACCTCACCACGATAAAGTCTCTCAGGCAACAAACAAAGGAGAGAAATAAACATTAGCACAATTTTAAAACATAAAGAGGCCATCAAGAGTGCTAATGTTGTTAAAGGTGTGAAAGAAACAATGATCACGGGCAATTGAAGAGGTAGAAAAACTTGTTTTGGATAAATAAAAAGCAGTTAGTTCAGTGATGGCCAACCTTTTGAGCTCGGAGTGTCAGCATTTTGAAAAATCCTAACTTAACTCTGGTGCCGTGTCACATATAGAAATTTTTTGATATTTAACCATAGTACAAAGATTTATATTTTTGATATTTATTTTATGTATTTAAATGCCATCCAACCAAAAAAATGAGTTCGTGTGTCACCTCTGACACGCGTGTCATAGGTTCGCCATCACTGAGTTAGTCAGTGACAGCATTTCGGAGGCAGTGATATGAACAAGCAAAGATATTGCATGCTGTTCTGAAAGACAACCCTGGACCAAGTGCCAAAAGTGATTTAAAGCTAGTAGGGGGTGTTTTGATAAATTTAAGAAAATAAGTGTTTATTTACAGATTAAACAGTACATTAGAAATGTATATAAGAAAGGTGAAAACGGATTCATTTGGGGGTTTGGAATGGATTAATTCAATTTACATCATTTCTAATGGGAAATGATTCCGCTTTCGAAAAAATCACTTCTCCAACAGCCCTCTGGAACGAATCAAGTTCAAGAACTGAAGTTCCACTGTATTTTAAATCATTTTGTGTTGGAAAGAGATCTTCAGACTAGAATATAGACTGCTGCTATGCTTAGGTGTGGTTTTATATACCAGGAATTGGAATAACTCAGTGACTTTTGGATTCTAAGTGTTGTCATTCATACACATACATTACTAGAAGACTGAGGTGAATAGAGTATTAAACTTTCTGAAATCTAGCCTTTGGGTATAATAAATTTAAGTCTTAACAAAACCAGAAGCACATATTATAGTCAGGAATAAAATGGACTTTAGTCCTATTTGAATCAGAACCATCTGTGGAGTTACTGAAGTGTTTTAGGCCCTTCTCAGTTTAAGTTAATAAACTCTGAGCCTCAATCTGAATCTTAAAACTGAAATCTCATGCCAGTGACTCTGGTTGTGATGCGCACTCCTGATTAAGAACCACTGTCCTACCCTTGTGAAGTCTGTGTGTTGTGATGTTCCCCTGTGCTTCTAATTAACCAGTCTGAAAGGTTCTGAATTCTGGGGATTGTACACGGTCTACAAGAGAACCACACTCCACATCCATGCACATGTGAGACCTTCAGAATAATTTGAAATGATTGACTTGGGAATTCCAGGTAGGAGAGTCAGGCTTCATACAAGTTAGCCACTCACTGTAGATTTGGAGGATCGAATCGTCACCACAATGAGAAATCACTTGTGCGATTGATTGCAAATACTGCTTCCATTCAAAAATTTATATGCCGAATACCCACAAACACAGCACTGTCAATCCCATGTTTATATTTGGAGTCAGCCCTTATGAAAAATCAAATCATTTAAGACAAAGGTATCATTGAGGAATTTAATACTTTTCACCAACTTGAGATCGACCAATACAAAGGAATGATAGTCATGTTCAGCATTTCTATGCAGAGAGAAGTCCAAAAGTTTGTGTTATGTGAGGTTTTGCTTTTCCTAAGGAGATCCTTTTTGAATTAGGAGATCCTTTTTGAAGCTGATCAGCAGATGTGTAAGAATCTAAAAGAGCAGTTCAGTTAAAGTTAAGAAAAGTGGAGGTCAATGAAGACTTGACTGAAGTGTCAAGAATGACTCCACTTCCCCCTTGCTCGTGATTTTTTAAAGTCTTAAGCTTTATACGTTTTCTGCAGGTATCAGAGTGGATTGCCAACTTTGTCATTTCAGAATGCCATTTTCAGAATTAGGCAGAACCCAATGATATGGCAACGAAGACAAGCTGGTTAGTTTTAATGATACTTTGAAGTATTTTTATCTAGAGTAAATATTAACTTTACTGTTGGCTCTGTATTCTGCAAATTAACCAGAGACTCTGGTTCTCAAACTGGAGCATACATCTTACCCAAGGTAAGTGCCTCATTCCCCTCAGCCTAGTCCCTGGTAGTTCAAAAGGCATCAGGGTACCCTGGCATCTATCCTCAACATCATTAGGTAGAAAGGCTGGAGGTGGAACTATCAGGTAAGGGGGTCTTCGCATAAATGAAAGTGCTCAATGAATGAGCAAAATGAAGTCGTTATTGCTAGCGCCATGCAGACAGGTAAACTAAGCCAATTAAGGACCTGAAAATACTGGAATGTGAGCTTCTGCCACATAACCCAAGATGCTAAAAAATGGGTTATTGGTTTTGACCATACCAGTTCAAACGTATCTGAATGGGATATAATCATTAAATTATCCTTCAAATTTGATGGTATCTTTAAGATTGATTCTTATAGAACTTACACTATTTTGAAAATATGGATCTGAACATTTTTCACCTATACTTTTAAGATAGTTTTTTAAAAGAACTTCCTTATATTTGGACGTATCTTCTGACATCTAAATTTTGTTTTTAAAATATCAGATCCATCTCTACCTAAAGACGCCTAAGACATTAGGATCTGTTGCTTCAAAGATGTTTGTTTTTAAAGGTAAATACTGATTCTAAGGCCCTTGAAAATGACATTGAAGGAGGGTTTTAGGCACAGTCTCAGGGGTAGGCATTTGATATCTCTTTCCTTGCTATTAACTAATCTTCCGGGATTCTATTTGAGATAGGAGCTGCCTCTGTGCACGTGTATTTTTATGTGGGGAGGTTGAGACTTCTGTTTCTGATATTGGTGCTCAATTGATGATGAACCAGCACTGTTGATCCTGCCCCAGGGAGCTTAAGCACAAGGGGGGAAAGTGAAGATTTAATACCTAATATTTTAGTGCACTACTGAAATTTAAAATATTAATTAGTATGAAAATGTAGCTGGTTCTGGTCAAAAAGGGTGAGAATTGGGATAACAGCTCTTCTACTAACTGTGGGAGCTTGAGAAACAGTCACTTACTCTCTGGTCCTCAATTTCCTCTGTAAGGTGGGGGTTTCAATATGCAAAATCCATTTTAAAAGGAAAATTAATAAACATGTTCAAAATTGGTCAGTTACCAGCAAAGCTCTTCACAGGGCTTTGTCTACAAAACTCACACATCTTTCCTATTTCACCATATTCCACCGGCCCTACACAAATTATGTGGGAGCAATAAGACTGCTATGGAGGTTAGTGCCCTTATCAAAGAGGCCCTGGCAAGCTCACTCGCCCCTTCTGCCATGTGAGGTTACAGTGAGAAGGCAGCCAAGGAAGCAGGTTCTCATCAGACATGAATCAGCTGGTATCAGAATCTTGGATTTCCCAACTTCTGGAACTGTGAGAAATAGAGGTCTATTGTTTATAAGCTTCCCGACACAGGGTATTTTGTTATTGGAGCCTGAATAGACTAAGAAAAATACTCTATCTTCTGCCATCTTACCTAATAATAGACAAACATGTAAATTGACCGTCCCTCTGCTACGCTCACAAGCCAATCAGGAGAGTATGCAAATTAACCCAACAAAGATGGCAGTTCATTCATTACATAGGCCAAAGCAGCAGAGCGACGACTGAAGGCTCTGGCTGGAACAGCGACGACTGAAGGCTGGAGGCCGGAGCAGTGACGACTGAATGCTCCAGCCGGAGCGAAGGCCTGAGTCCCGGGTTCCAGAGGAAAACCAGTGCCGTCAGCCAGGGGCCTCTAGTTATTTCATAAAGTCTAATTCAGGAGAAAACAAAAAAAGCCAATCAGGAGAGTATGCAAATTAACCCAACAAAGATGGCAGTTAATTCGTTACATAGGCCAAAGCAGCAGAGCGATGACTGAAGGCTCTGGCTGGAGCAGCGACGACTGAAGGCTGGGGGCCGGAGCAGTGACGACTGAATGCTCCAGCCGGAGCAAAGGCCTGAGTCCCGGGTTCCAAAGGAAAACCAGTGCCGTCAGCCAGGGGCCTTTAGTTATTTCATAAAGTCTAATTCAGGAGAAAACAGAAGATTACTTAGCAATGCATGTAGCAACTTCCTTCAACTACAGTTGCACAAATGCTGCCCAGCATTTCCATCTGTAGCAGCAAAACTACTTCAATTAGAACAATTCTGATGGGCATCTTAGCTCCTTAGCTGTG